TTTCATTCCTTCGTACGTAAGCCATGCGGAAGCGCTGCCACAGCGACTTGTGCACGGAGGTCTGCAGCATGCCCGAAGGACGAAGTGGGCGGGAGAGAAGGGCGTAGCATAGCGATAGGTAGAGGCAGCCATAGCTGCCATAACTGTAGTTAGTGAGAAGTGTGTGTGTGTATGAGTGAGTGTTCAGAGTGACGCGTGTAGGATATCCAGGGTGATCCAGTGTATGCGAACAGAAAGTTGTTCGGGCGCTGAGTTGCCATAGTCATTGAAAGTGAACTCGCATCTGGGTTTCCATACCTCTGAGTTTTGAGCGGGGGCATATCGCCTGTTTGCTGCGCTACTGTTGGCATGCATGAAAAGTGTGAATGAAAGCGAGTCTGAGAGCACAACAAAAGCTTATAATTGATAATGCCGGAATAGTCTCATCATTATCAATGAAGAACCAATGTTGGTATTCTATCCGGCCTAAGCTACAACGCCGATGATGACAACAACAGCTTCCCAAAATACGAGCAGATCTCGGCCAATGCCGCATGCGTCAAACACCAGGTATGTCTCTCCTCTCACTCACAACCTCGTTTCCCCATCACACAGATGCCACATGCACCCAAGGATCACCACGCATCTGACAACAACAACAACAACAATAATAATAATAATAATAATAATAATAATAATAATAATAATAAAGATGAGCAATAGCGTACTTCAGCAATCAAACAGCATCATATACATAAGACCGACTAGTCGTGACCTCGAACCAACTGCAGGATTGCATCACGAGTTTCACCAAAAAATAAGAGCACAACAAAAACTCATAATTGACAATGCTGAGATAGTTCCTTCATCATCAATGAAGAACCAGAGTTGATATCCTATCTGGCGCTCGGCGCCCAGACTACAGATGGCAGTTCCTATCTAGCCTATCTATGATACCGCTGATAACGCCAACGGCTCCCCGAGTACGAGCAGATCTCGGCCAATGCTGTTCGCGTCAAACACCAGGTATGTCTTTCGTATCACTCACAACGCTTTTCCCATACACACAGTTGCCACATGCACCTAATACTACTACTACTAATAATAATAATAATAAATAATAATAATAATAATAATAATAAGAATAAGAATAAGAATAAGAATAAGAATAAGAATAAGAATAAAAAAAAATAATAATAATAATAATAAGAAGAAGAAGAAGAAGAAAAATAATAATAATAATAATGAGCGATAGCGAATTTCAGAAATCAGCAACAACACATACAAGTACCCAGATTCATGCACTCGCCTTCTCTCCTTCCCTCTTTCTCTCCCCCTTTCTCTCTCTCTCTCTCTCTCTCTCTCTCTCTCTCATACACACACCCGTATATGTGTAGTAGCGGATATCGCGGCGTTCTTGTGAGAGATTCAATCGATTTTTCTCATACTCCGATGGAAGCTGCGCGAAGCTGGCCGCAGCCTCGAAGACTTTCCTGATGCCAGGTACGTTGCTCACGATCGGAGTATTATCTCGCTCTCTTTCTCTCTCTCTCTTCTCTCTTTCCCGCGCTCTCTTCTTCCTCACTCTCTCTCTATCTCTCTCTCTCTCTCACACGCACACACACACACATTCCATCGATACGATGAGCAAAAACGGGATGAATCTTCCGCTGAAACGTGGAAATATACAATGCCACCCTTTTGATTTGCTCATTCTATCGATCCAAGTAGCGTGCGGCGAGCCTCATGTTGGAGACTTAGCTGTTGGCATAGGTTGAAGACTTATAGTCTCTCTCTCTCCCACTCTCTCTAACACACACACAAATGCACCCACACACTCATACGTACACGCCCACACATACACGTGCACGGTAGTGTATACATTCATGTTCTAGTGGTAGATTCATCCGCTTTTGCTCATCTTATCGATCCTAGTGGTACAGATGGCCGTGCGATTCACACTTACAGAGTCACGCACGCACACACACACACATACGTATACACACACGTACACACACGCACACATACATGTGCGCGTAGGCGGTGGGAAGGTTAGTAGCGAGGTTAGAGACTTACTTGTCTCTCTCTCTCTCTCTTGCTCCCTCGTCTTCGTTGTTGCAGTCAGTCAGCCGGTGTCCCTCACGTTGGGTATGACGTGCCCAACGTCTCCTCGTTATCGACCAACCCACGAGTCTGTTCTCCTTCCCTCCTCTTCTCCTCCTTCTTCTTCTACTTCTCCTTCTTCCTCTTCTCCTCCTTTTTCTTCTATTTCTCCTTCTTCCTCTTCTTCTTTTCCCTTCACCTTCTTTGCTAGTTTCTTGCCTTATTACTACTCGACGCCGCCCCTCTTTCGCACTTGCATTTGCATTCGCAGGCTTACCATACCCGTTCTCATCGTGTGTTAACGCTTGCTGGATGCTTACTCCGCCCTCGACCGTGTGACTGCGAAAGCTCGCGTTCGGCGCTGCCTCATGTGCTCCCCTTTTCCTCCGTTTTTCTCGACTAAGCATCGTTGCTCCCTCTTGCTCGTATTGCCCCGCCCTATGGTGAGGTTGTACCGGCCGCGATCGGGGCGGCTTCCTACTAGATGAATCCGCCCCAGTATTGGGGCGGGATTCATTTGGGCACCCTCGGGGTAGGTAGGCCGTTGGGAAACAACAAGAATAACAAAAGAAAAAAAAAAAAATTCTTAATAACAAGAAAGAAAACAAAAGAAAACGAAAATAAAAGACCCTAACAAAATCTAACCGCAGTTCTCCCAACCCGCCAAGTGTCAAGCCCCGTTTTAACGGGGCAGCTATAACTACTTCTAATACTGTGGTCGCGGGTTCAAGTCCTGGCCGACCGATACTGGGCTACAAAAACAAAGCTCTATGTCAAAAGGGAGCCAGCCCAGAGGTCGGCAGGCTTCGATCCCCACATCCCCTGTGTCACAAATCACTGTCATACCTACCGAGCTAGCTCTTATTCCTGTAGGAATAAAAGCAATTCTTATATAAGTATAGCAGTGTGGTCCAGCCCAAATTAGCGGACCGGACCTATACCTTATTTTTGCTTGTGCGTACACTAGTCAGTCTGTATGCCCGTCTGAGTTTTTTTTTTTTTTTTTTTTTTTTTTTTTTTTTTTTTGTAAATCTCATTTGTCTGATTGGAAGGCCCAACGAGCCGCCACTTACCCATGGGTGTATCATTGAGAGTTGCAGCGGGGAAAACTCCCAAGCGGCGGGCATGACGGTGATATAGATGTGCCGAGCACCAGAGGCCGAGCACGTAAACACACCTTGATATGTCAGTAACAATGTACCCTCTTGACCTGCTCCCGATCGAGGATATTCCGTATCGATCCTAACTGTTACAGCGTGCATCATTATGATTCACGCGCTCCTATGAAATTCTAATCTTAGATCAATTCCCTCCAGGCGGTCGGCGTAACCGACCTGTCGATCGTAAAGTCACGACCAAATACCCTTGTAAGGGTGTTTGGTCCGACAGTATCCCAGACCCTATTAAGCGACGTCCCCGTCGCCTGGAGAACTATATGCAAACAAAAGATGTTTTCCGACAAGCAAATCGTCAAATCTGAATCCTTGAATGAAATGTGGTTCAGGATTGACGTCCTCACCTCACTTTTCATTATTAATGTTGGGATTTTAACCCGGGTCTCCCACATTGTAAAATAACTAAATGACTTGAAGTGGGGATACTTGATCCGTACTGCAGTATATGAAATAGTCAAGTATGACAACTCACCTTTCCTTCCCCACACCCTTAGACTTTGACCTAGGTATTCGTTGGTTGTTTTCAGGGTTGGTGTCCGTGTGAAAACTCATCCCTTCAAACGAGGGTCCTAATCGAGATCTTGGGTGTTCAACTCTTGTTATCACAGTCCAAAGTTGCCTTCCGTCCTGCACGAAGCCTAATACGGGAGGACAACGATCACCATCATGATCACCACAGTCCTGCTGATCAGGCCGGAGCTGCGGCCCTCTGCATTGTTGCTTATCGGTGATTACCTTCGTTGGTTGCGCAACGATGGGTTTTTCCTCCTATCTTTCAAAAATAAATTCACAATTTTCAAGACTAATCTCGACCCCTCCGACTCCTGCCTGAATAGATCCCTTCACGGGGGTGGCCATCCCCTCTAGTCTTTCTTCTAGGTCATAGTCGAAGGGTTCGCTGCCTGGTTACGCTAGGTCAGCAGCCCACGCTGGGAGTTACGTCCCAACGATGCCAATTTTCCACCAAAGGCTTGGTAATTTATGCACTCAGGTTAACCCTTGAGATGGATAAACGATGCTTCTTCCAAAATAAACCAAATAAATAAGATTTAAATAATTGAACAGTCGTCAGGTTGCCACTCATGGTTGTGCCCTCCAAGTATTTGATCTTAGCTCGGTGAGGCACGCACCTCGGGGTCATTGATATATATATATATATATATATATATATATATATATATATATATATATATATATATATGAACCAAATATTTGAATTGAAATCAGGCTTGTTGACTTCTGTTTGTCTAATCCATCAAAAACAATCATCCCACTCAATCCATTTGCAAAAACAATGTTTTACCTCATGAGAGGCACCCGTCCATACCGTAGCATGGCATTCCAATTATACACATAATTCAACCCAGCAACAGATCATTCAATCTTTTGCCGTCTTTCATTTATTCACTTACCCGCCCGTCCCTCTACAACCATTCCAGACCTCAGAGGATCTAAATAGTGATAGACGAGGGGAGGTACTCATCCATAAAAGGAGACTCAAAATCATAGACACGGGAACACACACAGTGTGAAAGCGTTTGTGGTCACCAACTCATTTGCCCCTGATCATACATATAAGTGTAAGTATGTTATAATAAGTCACATCAATGACTCACCCCACTCATCCTCATCTAGTTCCTTGAATGTTTATGCACCCCCTACTTCTAAGTTTTTACCCCTACCAAGTCCTTGAAAGTCTGCCTCTCTTTCTCCATACTGCATTCCACTCATTCATACATTCTCTCTGCCCCTACCAAGTGCCTTAACTCACAACTCCTACCTCTCCTACCCCGAGAAGGTGATTGTCAGCCCCAACATCCTATGAAGTTCTACCCTGTCACCCTTAGGTGTCTTGGGGATCACCTGCCCATTGCTAGCTACCAGTCTTCCCTTGGAGTCAAAGCTGACCATCCCTTTCCTAATATACTCAGTCAATATGGTACATCCATCCCTGAAGTGTCCCTCCTTCGTGCAGAAGAAGCACCCATGTCGGCCTTTGTTATGCCTGGGCCGCTTGGTTAGAGGCCGACCCAAAGACTCTGCTTGACTCCCGACCCCTTCAGACGATTCCATGCCAGACTGTTCACTCCTCTTGATGCCCTTCTGCTGAGGCACACCCAGCCTTTCACCTTTATCTTCCTCTGCGGCAGGTGGTCCTTCGACCCTAGGTTCTTCTTGCGGTTCTTTGCTGGATGGTCCTTCCTTTCCAACCTCAGTCTGCTCATCCTTCCCTCCTCCTCCTTCCTTTGACTGAGGGGTCCCCTTTCCTCCTTCTGCCAATCTGATTTCAAATCCTCCTTCGTTCTGCCATTCCACCACTTTCGTGGTTTCATTCCCTTCCTCTTGGTGGCTCAACTTGAGCTCGTTCATCCCTTTCAATATCTCCTCCCATCTCTTCTCCCATACTTGACCCATCTCTTTCCTGTCAACAATCTCCTGGTCCAGGTCCCGTCCCTGCACACTGATCTCAGAGCACAAACTTTCCACCTTTTTTTCCACTTTCTCCCTTTTTGTCACTTCATCTTTCAATTCCGTGCCTTTCTGGGTCAGGGAAACCTCCAAAGTACTTACTTGTTTCTGCAGTTCCTCCTTCCCCTTTTTCAACTCCTCCACTTCCTTCCTCATCCCCTCCAAATCCTCGGTTAACTTCGTCACCTGGGCATTCCTTTCTTCTTCGTTCTTCCTCAGTCTGCTCATTTCCTTCAAGAGCCCTGGGATGTAGTCCAAGAACCTTTGGGTGAAGAGCTCAGTGTTTTCCTTGAGCTCAGACTGAAGCCCTTTTCCCACTGTATCCAGGTCTTCTCCAATCTCCCTCATTCCATCTCCTCCTTCCATCTTTCCCAACTTCCTGGCAACCTCTGCATATTCTTCAAAAAGCCTGGTGCACTTCTCATCTAACATCTCATGGAACCCCATCATTTTCTGGAAGTTGGAAGGATGTTTGGTGCTCACCACTAGCTCCGAGAGAAACATTATTTCAAATCTGACTTCCCAAGTGGAGTTCACAGGCAGGTCATCATCTTGCAGCATCCTGATCATATAATCTCTCCACCCTTTCTTCTTCTTCTCTCTTTGAGCTCTCTCTTCTTTACTCATCTGTCCTTCCTTCACCTCCCCTCTTAGATGGGATGGACCTCCACATTCCACTTTTCACTTTTCTGCCTCCTCAACTTCCACTTCCTTGTCCCCTTTTGGTCTCACTTCTTCATCACCCTTTTTCCTTTCCTTCTCTCTTCCATCCCCAATTGGTCTTTTTCCCTTAGTTCTCTCGACCATTGGAGCTTTGCCTCCCTCCTGGATCTTCTTTCCTTCTTCTCCCCCTTTTCTCTTCTTGCTCTTTCTTCCTTCCTACTTCTCCTTTCCTCTACTCCTTCCATTTCAACCTCAATCGGTCTTCTTTCTTCAACCCTTCTCTCTCTCTGTGCCTCATTCGCTCCCTGCCTCTCCTTCACCTGCCTGGTCAGAACCTCTGCTTCTGTCCTTGGGGAGAGTCCTTGGCTTGCTTCTCAGGTTCCTGAAAGGTACGTCCTCTTCTCTTTTATCCTCTCGCGCCCTTTTTGCAGCTCCTCCATCTCCCTTTCAATCCACAATCCTTTCTCTTGCAATCTTTCCTTTCTCGTTTGGTCTTGCCTTACCTGGTGTATGCTATTTGTAGTTCCACTGTTATCCTTTGCCAAGTGCGATTCCCTTCCACAATCTCCTTTATTTTTTTTTTCTCACTCTCCTCTGTCCTTTCAATCAATCTCTTTTTCTTTTCCTCATCACTCCATCTCCCTCTCTCTGAAGACAGCTGCAAATTGTCGACAAACTCATCCAGGTTTGTTTCATCAAATCTCAGATCATCCTCAACCTCATCCCTTGGAAAGACCCCTATTGCCTGCCACAGTCTCATCACGCACGTCCTCCATCTCAAGCATCCGGCTGCCACTCCTTCAATCTTCTTCTTATATACCCCTGCTCCAGTCACTTTTGCGAGCTTCATCTTGTCATCCCATTCCCTCCGGAATGCATATTCCTCAAAATCCCTCAAAAACACATGCAGGTTATCCCCAACTCTGTAAACAGGCAGCTCCTGCAAGTCCCTTAAGATTTTCTGATCCCTCCTCTGCCCGCCCTTTCTCAAGGTAGGTCCAGAGGGTCCTGCCATTCCTCCTCACTGCGCCATGACCTCTTCTCCCCAAGGGTCACTCCTGCACATAGAGAAGGAGCAATGACAGGTACACGGATCAGAAATCATCATCAAGGCAACACTTCTTATCAAAAACACAAGCTTGACAAAATGCTCCCTTATCTGTACTCATATGCATGCACATATATACATATATATATATATATATATATATATATATATATATCCATGTGTATATACACGTGTATATTCCCACAATACCCATTCATATTCATATATGTACATACACACATATATATAAATATATATATATATATATGTATCCAAACATTCATGAGCATATACTTAGGCAAATGGACACACACATACATATGTACCTACACACATGTATATGCATAAGCGTATTCCCTGTTTACTCAAGCTCTTTGCATCAAACTGGGCTCACCTCTTCTCTGACTTGGAACTTCTTCAGTCTGGATCCTGAAACCCAGTCCTTCCTTGAAGTCTCATCCATCTCTTCTAGTTCATAGGCCCCATGAAGTCCCTGCTTCCTAACTTTGAAGGGTCCAAGTCAACGCTTGTCTAGTTTTCGCAACCATTGCATTTCCAAAGAGGAATTGTAGAGTTACACTGTCTCGCGAACTTGTAGTGGCTCGACCCGCACTCTAGGGAGTTTGTCCCACCTTTCTTTATCTTTCCCTCGGCTGTCTGCAACTTTCACGGCTGCTTCCTGAACTCTTTCTTCAGTGGCGCCGATCTGCCTTGCCCTCAGATCTAGTAGCTCATCGAGGGTCAAATTGTTCTCAAAGTCCTGCCTACGCCATGTTTTCAGAAAGCTCTCAATCGGAAATGTGGTGTGGCGACCATACCAGAGGGTCGCAGGTGCATACCCGATCGTCCTTCTGACAGTGATGTTTTCCACAAAGAATATCGTTCTCAGGAGTTTTTGCCAGAGGTTCGGCATCCCATTGGTCCACTTGGCCAGCAAGTTAGTAATCGTACTATGGCCTCTTTCGACTGGTGCATTTGCCTGTGGATGAGCCCGAGTCGTGAAGTTACTCATGACTCCTAACTCTTTCAGTAACTCCTTCACTTTTCCACATGTAAATTCCGACCCCCCGTCCATCGTAAATTCCAACACGAACGGATATCTGAGATAGTACTCTTTAATGCATTCTGCTAGCGTCACTCCAGTCTTGCTTCTGATTGCTCTGCCGTCAACGAACCCAGTAAGATTGTCCCTTGCGTCAAATATATAGTTATATCCTCCGAGACCCAGTGGCCTAGCCAATAGGTCCAAGTGAACAACCGCCCCTTCTTCTTTGATGTACCTAGGATGTAGAGGTTCTTTGTACCTGATATTGTTCCTTTCGGAATTCCTCTGAGATCTCACCTTGCTCAAATTCTCCTTCTTTCTCTTCATCAAACTCCTAGTCGTCCCCGATTACTATTTCGTCCGCTTTCACCACACTTCCTTCATCATTTGCTTGAACCTGTAATAGGCAGTTCATCAAGTAATACATTCTTCCCATCATGGCTACCTATTCGTCCACTTGTTGGACTCATGCTTCGATTGTTCGCGGTTCGTCCATTATCCTATAGTTCTCTGCCAAGGCTAACTTCATCATCCATCCAGCATTCCTCTCCCCTCAAGAGTCCTCTTCCACTATCGGTGTGAGTATTAGGGAAGGTTCCCTCATAAACTCGGGAGGCGGATGCCACATCGGATTTCCTCTCCTCATTTTCTTACTTTCAACGAACATGAACCAACAATTTACGTGAGTGCGCATGTCTTACCCTTCCTCCAAAAACCCATCTGCCGGAGGCATTTTTTCCTCAGACTCTTCCTGGTTCCCCCACTCAATTCTGCTTATACCATCTGCCCTATTTTTATTCCCAGGGATACGTTCCAGCTGAAAGTCGAACATCTAGATATAGGTAAGTCATCTGGCTGTGGTCGGGTCTGAAGGCGAAAAATTCTTGAGTGAATACACAAGCGCCGTCGGGTCAATCCTGAGGATAAACCTCCTCCCAAAGAGGTAGTTCCTAAAGATTCTTAGGCAATGCAGGACTGCCAGACTTCCTCTTTGAATTGTGAATAATTTCGCTCCATCGAATTAAGCGTCCGCTTGGATCAAAACGCCTCCCAAGGCAGTTGGCCCAGCATCAATCTCAACTATGAAAGGTCGTTCCATAGTTGCGTCAAAATCGGGTACTCCTAATACCAAACCTCCTTGCTTGAACTCCTTCTTCAATTCCTCCACTACCTCTTCTCGATGGTTACCCCACTCCCATTCCTGATCCTTTCGTACTAGCTTCCTTAGATGTTCCGTCTTGCTGGCAAACCTTTCAATGAACCTTCTCCAAAATCCATAGGTATCAAGGAAGCTTCGAACTTCTCCCACATTCCTGAAGGGAGTGGGCCATTCCAAGATTTTGTTAGTCTTCTCGCCATCAGGTCGTCGACCATACTCGTTATATACATATCCCAGAATGGTTACTTCCTTCACACAATGTCTGGATTTCACGTCACTGCCAGTGAGGTTGTACTCTTCTAAGAGGGACAAAACTTCCCTCAACCCTTGAACGTGCTCCCATACGAATCTTCTTATTTCAGGAGCCACCTTTGACTCATCCTTTTCAAGCGGACCCTTGACGGCAAGATCGTCAATGTATGGCTCGGTTATTTGAGGGCTGATTTGCTGCATTACTCTGATCATACTTCGTTGCACCATGGCCACAACGTTGGTCCATCCTTGGGGTGCAACATTCATATGGACTAACCCTCTAGGCGTGTGCATTGCCGTTATGGGACGATGTGCAGCATAGACCGAAAATTGATCATACCCGGAGTAGAGATCAATAAGTGATACAATCGATCTCCCTGTGCAAGACTCTGACAATTGATCAGTATTAGGCAGTCCCCCAACGTCTCTTACGGTTACCGTGTTCAGCCGTTGGAGGTATTGTACCCATCTGAGTACTACGTTTGGTTTTACAAAGCAAAACCAGGGAGAAGCATATGGTCCGCTGGAGTACCCAGCAACATTTGTGCGGATCTTTCCATTTAGGTACTCTACCACCTTTCTGCGATCTTCGGGATTGGGGTACTTAGCTCCTCGAACGTTCCATGGTTCATGAGGTACAGTATGGATTCAGATCATTTCGATCTTGTCAACGTCCAGCCTTCCACGCTGATCATCATTGAACGCATATGCTCCATGCTTCTCGCGTATTAGTTCTTTCACCAAGTCCTCTTCTTACCTTGTCAGAAACCCAGGTTCTCCTATTATCAATTCCCTCTCAGTCTCTTTGTTGATGCGACAAGGCTCATTCTTAGTACATTCTCACATTTGTCGCACCAACTCCCTCTCTTGTTCGTAGTACACACCTTCCTCTTCACTTACCAGAACCGAAACTGGCTGACTTTTCTTGTCTACCGTCTTGTACCGCCTTTTGGAACCCTGCTTGAACCCACCCCTAAAAAATGCCGACCGCCAGCTTGCGCATTTGCCATATGCGGCCCTATCATTTGAGAAGGAGGAGGAGGTCGGTAAACAAGATCGACTCTTCTTCCTTCTGGATCGTCTTGGATTTTTTCTGCGAGTGCTCTGACGGCGTCTGGGTCCGCCATCGTATAGGCCGATACCAATTCTACCGCGTCAATGATATTGGTCAGGCTCAACATAAGCCCACTGACTTCTTCATCATCTGACTTTTCTCCTTCCTCCCATTCCAGTTCCCTTCTCCTATTCTTTGATTCTTCAAATGTGTAGGACCCAACGTCGAGTCTGTTCTTCGAGCTGTGCGGCCCAGTATTCCTACAAGTGATTACTTCAAAGTTCCCACAGGCGGGATCACACAAAATGACAAACATGGTGCCATCATGTTTGTTGATAATGAGCGACTCGGACCTGCACAGGAACGATCTGCCTAGTAAAATTGGAAGGTCCAAACTGGGCATAACATAAAAATATGT